GAAGAATTTGCGTTCACTCCTCGACCCACTCACTAAACCCCACCTTGGCGATCTTCTTTCTAAATTGTATGCCCCATATCTCCCCCATTCAAGAAATATAAGTGCGTATATTATATATCTGGGCTTTTTTTTATACAGATTTTAATTTTTTATATCCTTGTTAAAAATGAAACTTTGGGTCTTTTCTAAAGTGTGAAACGATTATGGGAGAAGATGTTGGGGAAAGTTGATGATGAGTGAACTTCAAGTTGGTTTTTAGTATTTCTGTTTCAGAGTCTAGTTTTAGTTGTTTGATAGTTAAAAAAAAAAAAAAATTCTCTTTTTGAGGTAAATGTTTAATTTGAGTTTTTGGTTATCAGGTAATTTTGAGGAGCGACCTTTGATGGTAACAATATTTTCTTGCATTATGTTGTTGAGAATGTTGTAAACAAATGTAGCAAACAATTGGAGATATCGAATTTTGAAGGGAACAAAATTGATCGTTCTTGGGGGAGTATATTGGGGGAGAGTGAGGCGAGGCTGGTAATGGTGGAGTTCGACGGGCATGGTGACCAGAAGGTGGTGTTATGTGAATCTATAAGTGGCAGCAAGGTAGGATTGTGAAAGTGGTGGTGGTGGCCAATTTAGGACTTATCTGTAATATTTTGAAAAATTTGGAACGATAATTGCAATTAGTTATTAATTTTTTGTTTTGTTTTCTATTTGTTTTATTTGAATAAGAGGATAAAATCATCATTTTATTGAAAATGTTGATAAAAAGGGCCTTTTACATAATGAAAGGTGAAAGGCATGGGTGGAAATGTCAAAAAAAATTTGTAAAAAAAAGTTTGTAAAAAAAAAATGACAAATATTTTTCCTACACTAACAATAATTGAAAAAATTTAATAAATTTATTGAAAACAAATTTTATTTTATTGTCTTTGTTGCTGCAATCTCGAGCCCCTGAATGTCCATTGCAGCAACATTTTTTTCTTTTTTGGTTTGTAGCCTATAAAATTTCTAAAAATTAAACGGTATATTCAGGAGGTGGATCCAAGAACGGATCCAAGATTGGGTTATAAAATTTCAAGCCGAGCTAATACGTGAAAAAAAACAAAAAATTACAATAAAAAACTGTTTTTACAAAAAAAATAAATAAAATAATAAAATAAAAAAAATGTTGGGCCTTGGGGGGGGGGGACTACAGCCTAGCCTATTCCCCTACATCCGCCCCAACGACGGGAAATTCCATAGTTTTATCAAATATTGCTAATCGAGGTTATGTAGTGTTTTAGTTTGTCAACTCTATTTCGTTTTTTAAGAGTTTTGGTTGAATATGAATATGAATTTAAGTTTGAGAGTGAGATCTCTTGGACCCAATTAAAGGTCATTTCATCTTCTGGTCTAATTCGTCTAGGTGAGAGTAACATAGTTTTACTAACAGTTGGGAGAGATTAACTAGTCAAGCGGTCTTTCATGTCAAACAAGCGACCTCTAGTCAAATTACTGAGTTGAACTTTGTGGCATCCCATCTCCCCTCCAAAAGAAAGTTTTTGACACCTCGACACATCAACTATTATTATCAAATGACTATGCAAGAGTAACGCTATTTTTAGTGAAGATTTAAGGTGCTGATGTGTTAAAAAATTAGTTGAAAGACGATCAAAGAGCAGTTAAAAGGACCGTCAACCTTGACTTACCTCAACTCTTGTTGACTCTTATTGAAGTGAGCTGTGAGCCCAGTTGGTTATTGTGGCTGCAGTCAATAGCAATGGTGTGAGATCTTGAAATGTTTAACTCTCAAGAACGACACAAACTACTTTAAAGATCAGATGGTCCATATCAATTCAGGTGCTACTAGGATTAACGACCCGACTACATCACCCAGGATCCAATCATTCAGGGCTAGTGCTCGTAAAGGCCCGCGTCCTTGCTAAGATTACCGGTAAACCGTGCTAATGCACTTTACTATTTATAGATTACTTCATGGGGTTGATGGACTTAGGCAGATTCATCAATTTCCAGTTTCCATCCTACAAATCGGCTCATCGAGCACTAGCCCAGAAAAGTGACTAGCTTTTTCTCGGTGGGGCCATCACTGGCTTCGACAGTCGAACCACTTTGTCACCACAAATGCATTGTCTATTTCAAATGGGATAATCCCAATTCTTTATGCATCATGAATACAATTATCAGAAGAGAAAAAAATAAAAAAACTACAGCTAGCTTGGTTGTGTGCTCCAAGTCAGCTGTCAACAAGGCGTTGAACTAAAGACATAAATTAGGGACAAAATCAGCAGGTGCGTGTAAAACTGCACATTGATAATATACAAATCAGAAACTAAAAAAAATCATACATATATATAAATCACCATCTGCAATTTAAGAATTATCAGCCTTCAACGAGCAGAGTTTTCATTACTTTTCAAAACATGTCAAGACCTACGGCACCACCGCAGCCTAATGAGGAGGCGCAGGCACCATCCGCCACCAGCGCAGGCACCATCAGCCTCTTCATTGATGGCAATCATAGCTCTAATTCTAAGAATCATCACATGGGTTTGTCTCATAATTTCAACCATCATAATAGTAACAACTACTGCCACAATCATAGGCACTTTTCAGACAGTCGAAATTCACTTCAATGATATAATTGCTTACAGGTAATTAAACTACATCTTAAGAATCATCTCATCTAAAAGCTTAGGTTAAACTCTTAAATGAGTTGGTCTCGCAGCTACCCTTTTAATTATGAGTTGTACGATGAATAAGCATGTTGAAAAAATATAATTCAAAAGAAAAATGAGTTTGATCACTTTATAAAACCTAAGCTTTCCAATAAAATAGTTCGATATCGACACTTTCTCTGGATTTTGATCACTTAACAGGTACGTACTAGTTGTCAATGTTCTGGGACTGGTGTACACCAAATTGCAGTTACCATCCTCAATCCGCCTTGTAATCTCGGGAAATCCTCTGTGGAAGAGTCCTGGTTTCCTCATGTATGATTTTCTCGGTGACAAGGTTAAGAATCTTTCCTCTTATAACTTCGTATTTTCAAACACACCTTCTCTGCACCATTGATGTTATCTTGTAATTAAGTCAAACATGAAGAATATATAAGTGAACAGTAGGAAAGAAAGTACATGTATGACGGATAATATTTAGAAGTATGAAATGTTAAATTGTTTTTGATTTGGTCAATTTCATGAATCGAACAGATCCTTTTATCACTATTAGCAACTGGGGTAGGTGCGGCATTTGGTGCTACACTGGATCTCAAGAAAAACCTGGATGACTTGGATGATATCCTTCAAGAAAACTATAACAAAGTGGCCCTTTCCCTAATTCGAGTAAAACTCGATGATTTTTTTAGCAAGGCCTATGTCTCAGCAGGATTCCTTCTCATTGCTTTGCTCACCTCAGTAATTTCGTCTGTAATTTCATCTTTGGATCTCACCAAGAAGACCTACTAATAAACAATAAGAAATCTTTTTAATGATGTATATGATGTTATACAAGAAGAGTGAATGCATTTCTTCTCATTTATCGTGATGATTTTTTGGAAGGTCATGTGGTTTCTACCATTCTTTCTATATATATATATATATAAATTTTGAAAGAAGTTGAAAGGGGTAATTGCCTTCCAGTTACCAAATCTTCTGTATTTTCTTCAACAATGCTATGGTGACAGAATTTTTTTGACATAATGGATGATCGACACTCACATTGGCGGGGGGCCCATTTCTTTTTTGGACTTTTTTATTCACATGAGGCTCACGTGCTGTGAGAGGATGTCAACTATTATGTTAAAAAAATTCAGGTGAAGTAGTTTAATTCTATTTTCTTTGCGTTGAGCATTGAGTTGAGACTTATAAACCTTAATTCTAACCCACCAAGAGCAATCAATTTAAAGAAAGAAAGTAAATAATCAAGAATAGGTAAGATTTATAGATGTTCGTTTCAATGTGAGACCACGTTGTCTCTCGCCACAGCAGTAATTCACTATGATGAAAAAGGTTTACCAAAGAAAATGTCAATCATATCTCTTCTAACCTCTATTTCTCTCTATTCGATGATAATACATAAAGACTAGAGATTGCTCTCTATTTATAAGATAAATTAGGGTAAAACCAAAATTTACAAGGACTCTTATTCCTTCATATAATTTTACAAAAATATAAATTCCTAATTAGTCCTAATTTAAAATTCTTGTCGAGGGTTGTTTAACTCCTCCAACCCCCACGGCAACCTCTCTGCTGAGGTGTATCCGTGACTAACTCTACAAAGTGGCAATAATTCGGGTTAAACAACAATTAGGCTACAAAAATTAACAATCTATTATTTGGAGACTAATTCACCATCAATAATTCTTCTGCAACGGCAACAACTCCTCATTCCGCAAAATAAAAGTTCAACTCAATCAAAATAGTCTTTGTCAACATTTCAGCTAGATTTTGACTCTCTTGAATCTTCTCTAGTGTTAAGATTCCATCCTTCAAAGCCGATATGTGGAAATAATAACGAACATGTCGATGCTTTGTCCTTGCATGATAAATAGGAATCTTAGCTAAGTCAATAACGCTTTGATTGTCACCATGCAACATACTATTCCTATACTTGTTACCCAATCCAAAAAAGACTACAGATCTATCATCGCTTTGCTAGCTTTAGATGCAGTAACATACTCATTCTTAGTAGTGGAAAGAGCAACTATCTTCTGCAACTTAAATACCCAACTAATTGTCGTACTATCCAAAGTGTGTGTGTGTGTGTGTATTTCCTAACATTTCAACGTCTATATATTCCTGTAATCCCAAACCTGATCTCTAAAAAATGAAGCTGACCCTAAAGTACCTGTCAAGTGTTTGAAATTCTACTTTACTGCCCTTAGCGCTGTTTGCCTGGATTGCTCAAATATCTACTCACCACGGCATGTGCTACGTCCAATCTTGTACACACCGTGGTATACATAAGGCTGCCAATAACAGAGACATAAGGCTCCTTGACCATAAGGCTCACTCGTCCTCTACAAAGGGTGACTGCTTATTTGATAGACTGAAGTAACTAGCCAAAATTGAGTCCGAATATTATCCCACTGAGATTGATTTAGTTCAATGTTATTTATCCAGACCTTAACCAAAACTAAATTTTAACAAGTGATTCAATAACCTAATTACTCTCTAACTTAAACTAATTACATGCAATGAACAAAATGCAAATTGATGTTTAAATTAACTAAAATGCTATTGAGTGTTGAGAATGCAATTTAATGTATTCAGTGATTGTATGACGCATTAGGATCACGAATTCTGAAGTAGTGTTCAATTTAACCCTAATTTCACAAATTGACAACACGATGAAATTTTGAAGAATCAATACTCCTAAATCTATCCATCATACTCTCTCAAGCGGCATTGAACCTATTCCCCTTCTCTTGAATACAAATATAAGTCACCCAAACTCACACAATTACGGGTCCTTAATCGCACAAGAAATCAAATGCATATAAATCATTCAAAATAATCAAATGTGTTTTAATGTCAAAAATATGAAACAAGGAAATAAGAATCACATTACAATGTTCATCGATCCCCTAGCACATAAAAATCTAGCTTAGCATGATGGGAAGAATAAAACAAACTAAATCACAAAGAAAAGACATCATGACTTTAAATCTTGAATTGAATCCTTGCGTCTTGATGTTAATCTTCTCGTTCTTGCCTTGTTCTCCTCTTTTAAAACCCTTATAAATGTGTTATAATGTGTGGTGTATGCTTAGGGATGGCCCTAGGATTGTAAAATACCTTCAGAGATTTGTTTTTAAGTTAGAATAGGAAACCAAAAATTTTTCGCCGCGATTGGCTTGGGCAGTTACCCAAGCAAAACCAAGGTAGTTGTCCAGTTCAAAGCTTTCTTCTCTGTAGTTATTTCTTAACGTTGGGCAATCACTCACTCTAAACAATGGGGCTGTTGCTCAGTTATAAAAACTCCCGAATATTGCATTTTAACCCCTGAATTCGATTTTTAATTCTTTCAAGTCCTTTCTCTTGCATTTTTAACCCTTTGACTTTTAATCGCATCTAATTAAACCTGCAACACCTTTAATAATCATTTTGTGGTCCAAATCAATTATTGAAATGCTGTAATTTAGTCCTCATACTTTGGATTTCCCCATTTTTCTTTTCTTTTCTCTTGAATTCTGCCATATCCATCAATATAATTCAATATACAAAATTAAGCCAAAATCCAAATGCTTTGATCAACAATTAGTCACGTTTTATGGACCAAATAAGTGTGTAAAACGTATTTATCACTCTTTATGTGACAATTTCAAGACATCATTGTCCCTAATAATTCTCATCTCAAGTCTTTCATTGAAAACTCCTTAGATAACTCATTTTTCAACTTATTTATTTCTTGCTTGCAAGCATCTGTAATTAACATGTCATCAACATATAGTCGCAGTAAGATAATATATAAGAGTTACCAGGGTTCTTTACATAACAACAGTGATCCCCTTGACACCTGCTAATGCTATTACTCATAAAACTATCAAACTTCTTCTACCAATACCTTCTTTATGTTGAAATCCATTTACCACCGGTCTTGCTTTATACCACTTACTTCCATTATGTTCTTCTTTTAACCGCTAAATCCATTTATTCTAGAAAGCTTTCTTTTATTTTGGTAACTCTATTAATTACAATGTCCTCATGGCTAACACCCACTTGATTGATTCATCAACAAGAAAAGCTTCATTATAACTCTATGGTTCACCTCTATCAGTTTGTAGAGGTCTATTAGTTTTGTTGGATCTTCTGGATAAAGTCATAGGGATGTCTTGATGTACTTCTAAAATTATATTTTCATAATTTTCTCCATCAACATTCTCTAACTCAATTACTGGACATTTTTTAATGGGATCATCTTAAATTTATAAACTTCAAGACTTGAATTTTTAAGATCTGTTCTCAACATGTCCTTATACAAATTACTTTTTGATGTGATCCATGGCATGAAGGGAAGTTCGAGTAAGGATTCATTAATCATTGAAGAAGGACCTATGACTAGGTCACGAGCAAAGACGGTTAAAGAAGCGATGGGACTACTTGTTCAAGCCACAGTGAATGAAACATTGATCATGGATGGCAAGCAAATCAAAAAGTTTCATGTTGGGCACGAAGGAAAACACGAAGTGGATCAACTTGATTCAAGCTATGGATAGAGAAACCGACCAACTAAACTATGTAACTTGCATAGTTAAAGGGGCATGAGACTGCATTCCAATGTGTAGCAAAGTCAACTTGACAAATTAATAATTCTTTGCTATCGCATTGGTTAGTACCATGCAGCTGCATAGTATAATTCTATGACACGATTTCTTCAAATTCGCGTAATCTCATATTTATGTTAAAACTCTATTTTTATGGTATATTTTGTAGCCTTTAGACTTTATTTCCACGTCAACTAGGCTTTATTGAGTTCCCTAGAAATAGGAATCATGTTTTCATTGTAAAGACAATTAACTTTTGAGAGATATCATTGAGAGGCATAATTGCTTTCAATTTTTTTTGCTTTTCGTTCAACTAAGTTCAAGCTTATTAAGATTTATTTCTTGCGGCATTCAAATAATATGGGTGAGATTCTTGAGTCTTGTGATTACAAGATCAATATATTATCGACGATTGTGTTGGTTCTTTGGTTCAATATTTTTATAACAAACTCTAAACTTTGATTTCTTGGTTGAATTTATTTTGTGTGGGTTTTGTAGTTGCCATTGTTACGTGGGTTCGCATCGATTAGTACTAGAGCTTAGGCTCCAAAAATCAAGGCTCCAAAAATTTTATTTTACTTGAGTCAAAAAAAGTGGGTATCCAATCAAAATTCAAGGACCACTTTCTTGGATTAATATGAGTTTCCATTCAAAATGTCAAATTCCTTTACTTCTTTTCTTTTCTCCTTTGAGTCTTCTAAGTTTCACTTTCTCACTCACGTCATAATTTGAATTCTTCGAGTATAAAACTTGCTTGAGATCGAATTAGTTCTTCAAAGCACTTGGGCAAAAAGCATTGAGTAGAAAAAGGCCAAAGTGGTGAGACTAATATAGGAAAAAAATCAATTTTGAGTCATGCATGAGTTTATACATGTAAGCACATGTTACTTTAGATTTAAGATATTTGACAGAGATGATTCTATTTCAAGCGAGAATAATAATCAAGTCAACATGTCGGATGAGTTAATACGACGGTTCAAAAGTTTGTTTGAAGACGTGAGAGACTAGTTGGATGGGCAAGAGATGTGGATAGAGGGACGACTCATTGATTGCTAATTTACTTGGGGAACAACATAGGAAAGTTCCCAATGCGAGGAGCTAAGGTAGGCGGGAGCCTGAGATGTAGGTGTGTAGGAAATATGAAGTGGGTAGTGACATTGATGAGGATGAATTGTTGGATGTCGAGTTAGGGAGAATGAGGTATAGAGGAGTTAGGCATGAAAT